CCCACTACTTAGCGATAAAGTATAAACTCCAATCTTGGTGACAGGTAAAGCTTTCCTATTCCCCATGATTAAGTTTATTCTTCCATGCTCCACATTCTCACTTCTTCTTAGTCCCTGCAAATCAGAACATATATGAATACCACAACCGGTATCAAGGACCCAAGAGTTAGAATGGGGTGAGTTATTAGATAAGATAGTGTAAATACCTGCATGGTTGGGTTTAACTTTCCCATCCTTCACATCTTGCTGGTACTTTGGGCAGTTCCGCTTCCAATGTGACTTTTCATGGCAATAGAAGCATTCAGCCTCTTTAGGGTCAGAAGAAGGAGTGACAAAACCTTTCTTGGTTCCACTTGAAGAAGAGCCATCAAGGGTCCTAGCCTTGGTACCCTTCGAAGAGCTCTTCCTCTTCTTCCCTCTACCTTTCCCGATTGCCAAAACCGGGGCGGAGTTTGGAGTAGGAGTGTTAACAACCGACTTACCCTTAAGACCTGTTTCTGCGGTCTTGAGGAGTCCCTGAAGTTTGCTGAGTGTGACCTCTTCCTTATTCATGTGATATGTCATGCGGAATTGATCATAGCACGATGGTAAGGAGTGCAAAATGATATCTATTGCAAGCTCCTCAGGGAAGTTCACATTAAGCTTCAGCAACCGATCCACATACCTTTGCATTTTCTGCATGTGGCTCGTGACGGATTCCCCGTCCTTCATCATGGTTGTTATGATAGAGCATATGATTTCATACCTCTCTTGTCGTACACTTTGATGGTATCTTTCCATCAGATCTTGGTGCATTTCAAAAGGGTAGAAGTCCTCATAGGACTTTTGGAGTTCCGCTGTCATGGTGGCCAACATGATGCATGCCACTTTTGTAGCATCCCTTTCATGTGCCCGGAAGTCAGCGATCTCCTGGGGAGTTGCAGTGGTCTCATCAATCTCCTTAAGCTCCTTGTCAAGGACATATTCTTTGTCCTCGTAGCGGGTAATCATCCTGATGTTTCTGATCCATTCATTGAAGTTGGATCCATCAAAAGTGACTTTCCCACACAAGTTCATAAGGGTAAAGGAGCCATTAGGATTAGAGCCAAAGCAGCATTGTTTGAAGACATCTGAAAGAAGAGAACAAGATTAGTTTAGATATTAAGAGAGTCCTTAATAAAACACCCAAATGTAATATTAAGGCTAGGATCCAATCACAATATATTATAACTTAGAAGAGGTATGCCGTAATCCAAGCTATAACATATTTGAAAGGTAGGTGAATGACGATTCACCAATTTCCACCATGAAAAACGAAATATAAATATTGGGTTTTTAATTGGTTCTTAGAAATTCCTAGATTCTTTTGAGATTCAATGAACTTTTCAAAGGCATGTTTCAATCTCGAGTGTGCCCTCCAAGTTTTGTGACTGGGATACCGAGGATCACAAAACGAGGTGTGAAGTAACCATGCAAATCACTTGGTACCCTCAAGGTTTATCACTCAATCGATGTGTCGGTAAACCACACACGCTCCACCGATGCTATGGTAAACCTTAAGTCACCCTTTACCTACCTTGTTAAGTCCAAGTTAGTGTGCCGGTTAACCACACACGCTCCACCAACGACTTAAACAAAGTGTAAAGTGTAATTTCATGGATTAGCACCTTATTCACATTTTCCTAAAGTAACTAAGATTGGGAATTTAATAAAAGCATTTAGTTACTTTATAATATTCATCATACTTTTAATGAGAATTTATAAGTCCTTGTCTTACCCGTTCGGCTAACGACCCTCCACCGATCAAGGAAGCGGTGGGTGAGAGTGGACACCCATTAAGTTGCCATTTTATAGGCAACAACCTTATACCCCCCTTATAGACCGGCTTCGTGAATGAGGCGTACTAGCGGTAAGACGACTTGACGTTATACATATATATATTAGTAACTTATAATATTATAAAGTATAAGGGTTGAATTTTAACTTTTAAAATTCTAAGGGTTGGAACTAAAGTTTTAATCAAGACTTTACATGTTCCAAAACTTGAGGGCAAGTTTTGTAAACTTCCAAAACTTTTCATTTCTTATAACTTATGAATTAATTGAGTAATAAAAATGAAGACTCTTCATTTTTATAACTCTTGTGTTCTTTTAATGGCTTTAATAAAAGTGAGACTTTTGGTTTTCCATAACTTGAGGACAAGTTATGGACTCCATTAAAACACATTATGATCATGAATTAAACTACCATGAAGGTTACAAACAATTCCTATGATCATCTAATCTTCATAAGTTCAAGAACATGAATATGAACACTTTCAAGAATAAAAAATTACACTTAAAAAAAAACTTGTAATTTTAATAATTGCCATTGTAAATGGATTAGCATAAACATTACACCATCTAAAACAAGCTTTAAAACATCAAAACAGTTTAGGTTAATGTTTCTAGTCCATTTCCAGCAACAAATGTGCAAACTTTCATACGAGCAGAAAACAGAAAAACAATTTTTTTCAAGCTGTTTGCACACAAAAAAAAAACAACAAACGAACCTAGGCTCTGATACCACTGATGGGTTTTGAGCATTCTAACACTTCCTAAGTGTACATGCAACCCTAATAACCTTGGATCTATGTTTGTCTAATTATCATGCAAAGTTGAATTCCAAGGTTATATTCCTATCTAGCATACATGGGGAACAAATTTTAACTTGCATGAAAGATAGAATAACTTACCTTGTTGTTGCTTATGATCCTTGAAACCTTGTGAGCCTAGCACCCCAAGTGTGATGCCTCAAATGTTTCACACAACACCAAATGCTTTTGGAATGACTTTAGAGAGAATACACACTTCTAAAATCGGCCTAGCCCTCTTGTTTCTTATGTGTAGCCGATTTTGGTGGAGAATGGGTTTCTTATATAGTGTTGACACATCTAGGGTTACACCATGTAAACCCTAATGTGTCATGACTCTTCATTTCCATGACCCATGGGTTTGTAACTCCCATGGAGCATCCATTGAGCATCCTAGCCCACTATATAAGATATGGAAGATTTACATAATCTACCCATATATTTAATTAGTTATCTTTTGATCACTTAATTAATTCTAAATTAATTCTTGATCAAACTAATTAAATAATATTATTAATATATTAGAACTTATAATATATTAATAAACCATAAGTGTTATTTCTCTCATTTTAGTTTATCCAATTGCATGGTGCCATGCAACCCAAATGGACCATGCCGGGTCGGGTCAAGTACATACCAGAAATAGTTATGGACTTAGACACCTTATCCAACAAAAAGATCCATCATCAGTGAGATTACACTTCCACGCATCACCAGTTGGACCTGGTTGTTTGTATATCACCGTTTCAGTTGGGATATCCTTTTTTTGAAGGTGCTTTCTAATGCTCACAATATTTTTCCACACACCTGGTATATATTTGCTTGCATAACAGTGGTCAGGTTTGTTGTTTAGATTATGCATGCCCTATATGGCTTTGGCCCAAAGAGATGTTGACTCGGATCGTAGTCTCTACCACCACGTCATAATGAGGGAACTGTTTAGGGATTTAATCGTACCAACACCAAGCCCGCCAACATCTTTAGAGGCGGTGACTTTGTCCCAAGAGACCCAGTGTATGCTTCTTTTTCCAACTGTTCCTCCCCATACAAACTTCATACGAATTCGTTCCAACGTCTCAATTATCCCTTCTGGAGCCACAAATATCGAGAGATAATAAGTTGGTAGATCACCCAAGACCGATTGTACAAGTGTTAATCTGCCACCAAACGACAAGGTTTTGGATTTCCATATAGACAGTTTTTTATGGAATCTCTCAATCAACGATTTCCAATTTTTAGTTAAGTTCATGTTCGCCCCGACTGGAACCCTGAGGTAAGTGAAGGGGAGAGAGGATGGTTTGCAACCAGGAGTTGTGGCCCATCTTGAGACTTCCTGCATATCAGCGTCAATATCGAAAACCTTAATTTTATCGAAATTTACTTTGAGACCGGAAGAAGCGTGGAAACAATGCAGGACCTGGCGAGGTTTTTTATGTTTCTTTTTTACTTCACCTACAAACAACACATCGTCGGCGTATAGTAAGTGAGAAATCGTTGGTCCACCGTTTGGTAGTGCTAGACCTTGGAAGACGCCAATCTCGCATGCAGTTTAAACCCTCAATAGCTATGATGAAGAGGAACGATGAAAGGGGGTCCCCCTGCTTGACCTCCTTTGAGATTGAGAATTCCTTAGACCCATTAAATTTTTTGTTTCATTAAAGTCTACATCAATGTCCATCAACTTACTTTTATGTAAAATGACTTTAAGACTAAAGGCAAGAGAAAAAAACATAATGGGGTGCCCGAGTGAGGTTTAATGTTACAAATGATAACCAATAATACGCCCAAGTGAGGTTTAATGTCACAAAGGATAATCAATAATATACAATTTGTTTTCTAGGACACTTATATTTGAATTCAATGTCATTAAATTTTCTTTTATGTTTTTATTGCACCATTAAATGCATTTTAAATAGATTTGTTATAAGGTGTTTATATAGTAAATGAGATGTTTTTTTGCCAAGTTATATTAAATGCCACTCTCTATACAATTTCAGTTTCATGCATACCTAAATGAAAAAAAGTTGTCATTAAATGGAACACTTGACACTATGTAGGATTTAATATTAATTTAACTAGTTGAAATCTATCATATAGCAATGTAATGAAAACTAAAAAAATAAATAAATCAAATGACCTTTGTATATAATTGAAAGACAAATTATGCAAATATAAAACTATTCTTGCCATTTTAAATATTAACCTAAATAAATATGTTTCGATATTTAAACATACATTCAGTTTGATTTTTGCAGCTTTTAACTCAAATCCAACATTCAATGCACAACTTCCAAGTTCAAAGCCAAATATAAGATTCATTAAATACCTTTTAAGGTTAACTTTTAGCTTTGAGCACATAGCGTAGATTTTTACAACTCGATTGCTACTTTCAAACCTGTTGAGATTGCGATTGAGGTCTCCCAAGCTGGATTTCCTCGCCGGCGGCGGGATACACCACCGTCTCCCCCATATAAGCTCCTAAAAACGTCGACAAACTAAGCTTATCAATCACTTCCCGGTGATGCGATTTGCAGACTAGATAAAGCATCGTTTGGGTGACGATGAACAGCAAGAACAAGTTCAAAATCAGAACCCCACATAATATTCCGATCATCACCCTCCAAATCATCGCCAAATCACCGTATTCCACGAACAACTCATACACAATAAGTAATCCTAACAAAAATCCGTACAACACGAATGCAATTCCCATTCCCACTTTCTTCTTCCCATACGCCAGATCCTTACCTTTCCTCATAGCTCTGAATCCATAGGTGTTTTCGAGAACAGTAACGACGCTAGCCAATTGCCAAACAACGCTCAGATATAAGAAACCAATGATGTATAAGATGACGATGATAAACCAAAGGATTATACCGATGCCTGAATACCCAAAAATAGATCTGATTATAACCAAAACAACACCTCCAATTACGTTATAGATGAAGAACGCGATGTATATGAACACGAAAGTGACAAAGAGTCGTTTCCAGACCTTTGGAACGACTGTCATAACTTTTCGGAAAACGACTTCTCGGTCGGTGTAGATGGAGGCGATGGTGAAGACGACGGCGGCGGTGGAGAGGAGGGAGAAGACGGCGAATAAGGTCATGTATGCGACTTTGAATAGCCAGTAGTAGAGCCAATCGGCGGCGGTTGCTCGGGCTCGATAGTAGGAATCACTCTCGGACACCAACGAATCGCTCTCGATTTTCCAGAATAAATGACGGGAGATTTCCATGTGAGCTAAAAACACGATTGTCAGAGGTAGGATTAAGGTGAGAGTGATTTGTGCGAAGATTTTGTTCGATGAGAAGATGGTTTTGAATGATTGTTTGAAGATGCCGAAGAAGCCAACGAATTTCATATCTTCTTCGCTTCGATCCATGGTGGTTTCTGTTGGATTGTTCCAGGTGAAGAAGATGGTGTGGGTGGTGGGTAGTGGATTTATTGGGTTTTTGTTTCCTTGAAATTTCCTGTTTACGCTACACGAACAGAGTGATGCATATCTTTATATGGTCCCATACTCCCATTTACCTTTCTCATTATTTCAGAAACCCAAAGTTGGCATCATCTGTTGTGTAAATGTGATTCATTGTTTGATTTGTTGTAGTATGAAATGAGTGTTTTTTATTTAGCATATGTAATTATGTTTTAAAAATTCAACAGACAAACCGGTAACAATTGTTTGCTTTTATCTTTTCTAGGTTGCAAATTTTCTGAATTATCTTTTTATATATATATATATATATATATATATATATATATATATATATATATATTTCTAAACAATTGTTTTTCTATGTAACATTATATATTTTAAAATCTTTGAAGTATTTTTATCAAATTCTCATATAAAAAATACAAGTTACAGTTTTCAGCTATCAGAAATCCACTATCACCTTCTAGCTTCAAGTTATCAACTGCTAGCTAACAGCTTTCAACTTTCAGCTTATAGCTACCAACCATCAACTTCTAACTATCAAACACATATAATCTATAGAATTATAACAATTGATTTTATAATTATTTTAGTTTGTAAAATTATCATTTTCTAGTTGTTATTAAATATATGTGATTATGTGAAAATATGTTGACTTTATAAATAAATTATTTTTTATTATACAATGTCAGTTATTATAATTATTTTTTGTATTAAAATAATATAACATAATTCTACAAATAATATGTATATAAAAAGGTATAACAAAATCTATACAAATAAGAAAAAGATATTGTAAAACTGTTCGATATACCAACAACAAAGATGTTTCATTGTCATAGTGGCAGGCCATCACGACCGTACACACCATCTCGTGTATGTCGTGGTAGTTATGACGTTGTAGAATGTTGTCACCAATATAATTAAGAATTAGCAATGGGTAAGCAAAGCCAATAGTCATTCTCAATTTACACAAATTCAAACTTTAAAAAAAATACTATGCCTGTATATATCATGAAATTTCAATTATAAACCTCATTCTCTTTTTTATTTTTAACGCCATAAAGATAAAGTTTTTTAAATATTATTTATCACATTGTCCGTTAATGTTGTTTAAAACATTGCCGATCAAAAACACATGGATGTTAAGAATACAAGAACGGTTGTCAATCGAGATCATCAAGCCGTACATGAACTTTTGGTACACTTTTAATTTGTCGATGATTATCTTTATGATGATGCATCATTTGATCGTAATTTTGTATTCGTATGGCAATATTTTTACATATTAGTAATGTTTTATAGTCACACTATGAGTTTTTCCATCAAAGACCAGATGCAAGAGGTAGAATGGGTATTAGTATTATACATAGACGTTTGAATGCAATTAGGTACTCAAGATACGATATATCCTATGATGCAACATACGAGTATTTGAAAATGTGTGAGAGGACTATAATGGAGTGTGTAGATTTCCTTTACACATGTGTTTTTAAGGTTTTTGGAAAAGAATATTTGTGTAAACATATTACACTTGATATTGAGAAATTACATTTGACACATGAAGCGATACATGGTTTACGAAGAATGATCGATAACCTTGATTGTACGCATTGGACGTGTAAAAGATGTCTAAATGCATGGCGTGTTCAATTTATCTGAGGTAATATAGGTGAAGCGTCTATGTTACTAGAAGTTATTTCATCTCATGATTTATAGATTTAGCATGCATACTTTGGGATTGCATGGTCCAACAATGACCGAAATGTTATTCGTTAGTCTCCCATTTTCAACGAAACTTGGACCAGGCGAGCACCTAATATGTCTTTCACGGTGAACGAACATGATTACGAACATGGTTACTACCTTTGTGGTGTGATATACACAAATTACTCCATCTTTGTGAAGGCATAGACAATACCTCGAATTGAAAAGGCAAGCATATTCATAAGAAGATAAAAATCTGTTAGAAATGACATAAAAATGGTATTTGGAGTCGTCAAACAAAAATGACATGTAATGAAATACACCACATGACTCTGAAATGACGACATGATACAAACAATAATGTATTCATGTATAATACTACATAATATGATGATTAAATATCAAAGTAGAATTATTTGCACGTATGATGAGAACGACATAGTTAAACCGGGCCAACAATTCATTCCCATTTCGGTTAAGCCCTTTGCTAGACTATATGAAATTCAAGATGATGAAACGTGTCAATAATATCTTCGAGAAAACATAGCAGAATATCTGTATCAAAACAAAAATGAACGACGACAAGTGATTTTGTTTTTGAATTATGTATTTTTTGGAACTTTTAATTATATTTATGTAATTTTAGGATTATGTGAATGTTCGTTATTTTTTTCTATGTTTTTTCTATTTTATTTTATTTAAGTCATATAATGTTTTACCAAGTTAATGTAATGTTTATGAGATGATGAGATGTCATATGAGATATCTATTAGGTTTGCGATTAATGATGATCACCACCAAATTGAATTTTGGATTTTTTTTTTAGCTGTTTCATATTAATTTTATGCCATGCATAAAAATTTATTGCTGACAAGATTTATTGGACATAAGTACAATTTAGATTAGACATTTAAAAAAAAGAAAAAAATAAATACAATTTAAATTAGATTATCAAATAGTTTTTCAAATTATATAACATATCGAGTTCCGAAATGAGACCATTTAAGAGGGAGCATTTACTTAAGAGGGTGTTTGGATTGGGAAAAAAAAAGAAAATGCTTATTGCTTATTTCCACTACAATAAGCTAAGTTTAAGTGTTTGGATAAGAATCCTTAAAAATCAACTTATTATGGCAGTATTAAGCTAACTAAGCTAATTTTAATAAGCATCTCCCTCTTCCTTAAAGCTTATTGCTTATTTTTAGTGATTTGAGAATTTACCGAATTACCCTTTTAAAATAACGAAACATAAACCCATAAACCCATTGTTGATAAGATCCTTCACAATCTTCTCTAGCGTTTGCTCTTCCCTTCTCGCAGCAACTGCCATCGCGAACCCTGGAAGCCACCGACGATCGACATACAGGTTTGCGTGTTCATCAATTTTTTTTTCGTTTTGCATAGATCGCACCTGTGATGTTTCTTTTTTCTTTTGCTTCTACCTATTTGCTGCTTCCCTTCTTGCCCCTGTGATGCTTCTTTTTTTTCTTCATCTTGATTCTTGTTGCTATTTGTTGCTATTGATGCTAGTGATTCTTGTTTGCATCTATAAATTCCTCTGCGTGTTTTGATATTAGGGTGAAAATTCAGAATTTTCTTCATTCATTACCCTGATTCAATATAGGTAATGGACATTGTTAATGTTCATTATGTGGGTATTTGATACACCCAAACTGAAATAAGTGTAAAAATAGTGTGATATATGTTTTTTAGTTCTATTATTATTATTTCAAAAACAAAACTGTTTTGTTTTAATAAGAAAAATATGTCAACATATAAGAGGAAGCCTTTTTTGGTCATTTTACTCATATAAGATGTTTTGTTTGCCAAACACTTAAAAATGCTTATCAGTTTATTGCTTATCCCCACCGCTATAAGCTAATTCAAACACTTTTGCAAAAACTGATTTTTCACACCGCTATAAGCTAATAAGCAATAAACTAATAAACTATAAACTAATTTATCCAAACACCCTCTAAATTTTCTACACATCTATTAATTTAATATTAAAAAAAACTATAAGTTGTAGATGGTCTTAATAATAAATAACTAAAAATATAGAGAAAATTGCAAAATTAGCCAAATACACTAATTATTTTATGGAAAATAGCCAAAAAAAAACCCAAATTACAAAATTAGCCCTTAAAATCGCAGATGAATTAAGCCCATCTGCGATTTCGTATTTCCATCTGCGAACGTACAAGTGCCTAAAGCACAACGTTCGCAAATGGAACAGTCTATCTGCGATTTTGTGTATTCCATCTGCGATTTCGTAGAGATTTAGTATAAAAACGTTTTTTTTCTTCATTTTTCACTATCTTTTTTAGAGAAACTCTCTCTCCCTGCGATTTTCTTAGAACCACCATGGACGATTTCTTCAACAATCCCGAAACAATATTTTAAACAAATTTTCCAAAGAAATAATAACAAAAATGATAATTTCTTGAAAAAGTTTATATATAATAAAGTTGTTTCGTAGTCAAACCTATCAATTTCGTAGTATTAAAAAAAACAAAAAAAATTCGAAAAATCGTAGGTGAAAACGAGAGGAAATCGCAGATGGACTATGTCCATCTGCGATTTTATGCTGTAAAGGAGATATATATACAGCGAAAAATTAAAAAAAAAAATTAAAAAAAAACCACCTGCGAACGTACAAGTGGCTAAAGCACACTTGTACGTTCGCAGATGGGAAGGCGAAATCGCAGACTTATATTCATCCGCGATTTTAGTGGCTAAAAATGCAATTTTGGTTTTTTTTTTGCTATTTTCCACAAACTAATTAGTGTATTTGGCTAAATTTACAATTTTCTCAAAAATATATCATTAAGTAATAACCATATTTTAAATTTATTTATCTTTGAAATATTATTCCATTATGTAAATGATTGAGATGAATTTGAATACTTAAATTATGCATCAACATTTTGGGATTGAATTTAGAAAGAAACATGTGAAGTGGGCAAACTTAAATATAAAAAACAAATCGATCAAACCAATTGCAGACTTGTGACAGTTTGAGTGGAAAGTAGGCACATTCCACCACTATAAAATGACCTGTATACCCCGTGATATCAAAACCAGTCTCTAGAATAGTAAAATGGAGGGGACATAAGCCTGTAAAAAACAAAAGGACGTCTGGTATTTTTTTTTAATGAAATTTTTTATGTTGCATATTTCAAGGTAGGATTTAATTTAAAAGCTTTTGTTTTTAGTAATTTCCAGCTAATAAAACAATT